CTCTTCAGCTCTCTTACGTAAATAATGCGGCAGCTCATATCGCGTTGAAATCTTTGAAATAATGGGAAATAACGATACGATAATTGCCAGCATCAACAAATTAAACCTCCCTCACGCAATATTGAAGCGACATTGCCAGAGATTAATACAATCATAATTATAGCCGATCTAAGCATGATTACTATATAATATTTCTGCCCTATTTCTTAATCTCATTTTGCCCTAGTTCTCTAGCACTTTATTATAAGGCATCTCCCATGATTCTCATATTCTTCTAAAATAATCGAATCAAACGAATATATCAAAATTCACGTAGAATTCTGAAGAAAGAATCAATCTATATTTCGATAAATACGATATAATATATTAGAAATAAATTATCTAAATAGAATTATATCAAATTTCGAAATGAAGCCAAATTCATATTATTTCGTAAAATGACCTTACTTTTTTTTTGGCTGCCCTCTACGCATTGAATTTTTTTTTTCATATTCCCGATCTCCCAATCTCATTTCGGATGAAAGAAATCTAATTCTAGATTCCCATTCCGCCCCGATTCCCTTATATATCGTAATATTCAAGAATATCAGGAGAAGAAGAAAAAAAATCGATAATCATTAATCATAATTATCCCAATCAAGAAAATTCAAATCTCGTTCATTTTGAAATATCCAATTTTCAGAAAATCAAAAATAATATCAAAAAATGAATCATATACTATATATTTAATTTTCCTCTTCCTCCATATTTTCAAAATCTTCAAAGATATTATCCAAATCCCAAATTCCGTTTTTCTGCCTACCTTGAGTAGGATTCGACGTTGGGCAGCTTCCGAGGGCCCTGCAGGGGCTGTCAGCAGCTTCCTTGGACCTTGATAACCTATGGGCTTAAACCACTGGAAAGCTTTGGGCTACATTGATTTGATACCATCTCACTTTCATGGCATTCTCCACTCCACTCGGTAAAGAAGAAGGGAGTCCATATCGCACGGGATCTCAAAAGGTTCATCCAGTTTATGTTAGCACTTAGCATTTAGGTGCTCTGCATTTGCAAAGGGCTTGAAAGTTTGGGGAGTAGGACAATTTGCTTTGTCGCAGTAATCATTTGGGTGATTTCTGCAAGCCGACTGTCGAACTCTCTAGCCGAACTCCTTCCTTGCGTTGGATAATCTCCAAAAATATTCCTCGTCCTGCGACTTTAGAGTAGTCTCGGATCGATGCTTGGGAAACATCATGTAAGTCACGGTAGTTCTTTGGAATTTTTCATGAAGTCAGTCTCCTACGACCCAAAGCGTCTCCCAGTTAAGCACAAACTAGAAGATCAAGGGTTTTGGGTTCAGACCCTCGGCTCTAAACGCTGCAAAGGTGCAGTGAAATCAATCCTGAAAGATTCACTGGAGTTTGCAAGCACAAAAACCGTCTAAGGTCTAGCGTTCAGCCAAGACGCTCAAGTTGCTGTGTTGTTCTAGGAGCCCATACCCGGAAGCCCTAGACACAAAGACCCTCAACGACCAAAGATCCAGCTTAACACCCTAAGCCCTAAACCATAAGTAAACTTGAACCCCTCCCCACTGGTTCAAGCCTTAAGCCCTGCAAAGCCTGCACCCTAAACCCCTGCTGCCTTCAGTGTGGGACCCATCGTTGCCAGATGTGTGCACCCTTTGAAATCATGGTGTTTCAAACGGTGCATTACTCCCTGGCTTGCCTTTTTGCATGCTTAGCGTTTAGGCCTCCGGATTTAAGGCTTCTAGGGTTTAGGTTTAGGGTTTCGGTCCAAGGCTTAACTTCGGATTTGGAACTGAAGGTTTATGGACCTGGGCTGTGCTATATCTTATTGCAAAACAAAAAATTATGCCAAGACGCCTCCTAGACCTTGTTTTGGAATCTGGCAGGAAACAAGGGTTTGTCATGCTTCAAGGCTTCAAGTCCTTCCCAGGGGCCATTGTGTAGCCAGTGCGTACCTTTTGCTAGCGGGCTCTGCATTAAACAAATAACCAAATGCAGATGCGCCATTTGGGGTTCTGTGGGACCTCTGTCTGATGGTATGGTTTTTTTTGGGGGGTTACCACCCCATGATTCTTGTAGCTGCCGTTATGTCGGATGCCGAGGGTCCAGGTATTTTGGGACGCAAAGTTTGGCATTAACGCTGTGAGCGTGCCTGGATGCACATTGTGCCACGCAGCAAACATCTTACAACCACAAACTATGAATGCCCTAAACCCGAAACCCCCTAAAAAATGATCCGCGCTATTGACTGTGTTGTTGGTTCATATGAAAAGGCCAGGGATGCTATGGGTACTATGGGTATTACAGAAACGTGGCGGTTCGCGCCCTGTCAAGCACCATGTTGACGCCTGACTAATTCCAAAGATGATCCTAGAATCTTTGTATAATTTTGAAATGGGTACCTCGACCTCGAAGATGATGATGGTGGTCGTTATATAAGCCCCGCAAAAAGCTTCAAGATTTTTTGCAAGTCCTTGTTGCAGAACTTCAAATTTTTGAGGACACGTCTGCTTTGGTAGACATCTTGGTCCAACATCATGGGTGGAAAAAAGGGTCTGGGTAAAAACGCATTTGTACCCTCACATCTTCCGCTGGTAGCAAAAAGGCATGTGGGAAAAAGCAGCTTAAAGCAGCACGCGCACTGCCAGTGCCAGTGGAAACTCAGGATACCTCTCCCGGCAAGGACGTTTAAAATGCTGGAATGTGCAATTTTGCATGCTGCCGGGGAGGTCCCTCGTTTTCCTTCGGCGCACTAAGAACAGTTTGGATAAGTATCTGCTCTTCAAGCCGCGGCATTATCAGAATCAACACTCTAAAATAAAAAAGGAGGCTGCTCAAATGAATCTGGACCTGGGGCCCGCTGATGTCCAGAAACAACGCACGTTTTAGGGTTCAGGGTTTAGGCTCTCCGGCAAAACAACCAAGTTTGGATCTGGCATGATCTGGCGCGAGGTGTGGGGTGTAAGAATCTGCGCCGCTATCTACACGGATGCTTGCTGTTGTTGGGTCGGGGTTTCAGGCCAGGATACATGGCAATCACAAACGCATGTAACATGATGTTGCAAAAAATGGTGGATCCCAATCTAATACTGTACTGGGACTATCTTCGGAAGCTCCGTATTGTCAAGGCAATCCCAAAAACCAGTCCAAACCAAATTCAGAAATTGCGCTTCACGCCAACGGTTTAGAGCTCACGGCTTAGGGCGGGGTTCGGGGTTCTGGGTACCCATTTTGCCCGGTCCCCTTCCGCTTTCTTCCGCACATGCTGATATGGGAGCTTCTCCCTCAAGACATTCTGCATGCAGCCCATTAAGAACGACCCCCGTAGGGCTGTACCATTGGGTCTACATATTGAGTCCCCATTAGGGACCGTCTGGAGACACAGCCCCGAACCCTTCAGACATACCCCTCTTAAATCTCTGCTTCAGGCTTATATAATCCCTATATACCCGAAACCTTACACCTTAGCACCTAAGCCCTAAACATCAACAGCCACACCTTAAACCCTAAGCCCTACACTCTAAACCCCACGAAGCCTCCATGAATTTGAGCCGCCTCAATTTGCGAGCGCAAGGCTTGGCCCGGCACTCTTCGAAATCGGAACAAGCGCTGGGGGACGGCATTGTTTGGTATAGGGTTCATGCATTTAGGGTTTCAGGGTTTCAGGGTTCAGGGTCTAAGGATTTAGGGTTCAGGGTTTAGGGGTTCAAGCATTTGGGGTTTGAGGGGTTTAGGGATGTATACGGCGGGATAACGGTGTAGGTGGATTGGGTGATCCTGCGGCCCTGGCGGGCGTGCTAAGCACGCGCAACACGTGGGCATGCTGAGCAAGACCAGAGCAATGGAATGGTGGGCAGGCCAGGACTGTGTATTAGTCATACTCCGACATGCCGCCCATGGCTCCACATGATGCACGGACTGAGCCAGTGAAAGTGTGTCCGGCCAGCAGCTTTCAAACTTGGAAAGTCACTGCGCTTCCCCAGTGTGCAAGCCAATTGCTTGCAACCCAAGATTTTGATGCTTGATCATACGGAGGCCGGGCATTCCCAGAAGAGTCTTTGGGACGGAAAAAGGCCGGAAAAAGCAACGCCTAGTGTAAGCCTGGCACGCCGTACTGCGGTCCAACTTTGTGGTGGAGCCCATGGCAGAGTCCGCTCGGCAAGTGCTGCCAGGCAAGGCCTTGAGCAAGTATGGCAACGCCATACCTCTGCGAATTAGAAGATGGAAGTAGCGTGACTGCTTCAGAGCGCTGTGATGCTCTTCTCTTACCTAGCGACGTGTGCCCCAAGGGATAACCACCGTTAAATGCCTCGCAATTGTCGAAGTGGGTGGAGCTTCCCTGCATCTGGAAAAAGCTATTGACCCGCAGCCCACCACCTTGCGCCGGGCAAAGTAATTAAGTGGCCTCTGACACGCGTGCGGCCACCTCCGACGTTCACGCCGTCACCATACTTTGCTTTGCTGTGGACGAACGTGGCCGTCGCGCGGAGAGACCAAAGGTCACCACTGACCCTCAAGCCGTCTCCACGTCCAGCAGTGGAGGTTACGTGGGCACCGAAGATGGAGAGGTTCCACAGAACTGTCACGCAGGGGACCATCAAGTGGCACTGCACCGATGATCTGCAACTCGCCCTGCAAGGTCAGGCTGCAATGGAAGTTCATCGACTGCTTGACGGTCACCTGGACCCAGTTTGCACTGCTTGCACGCCAGTCACGCCAGACGCAGAAGTCATTGACACGCATGAGTTCGCCGACGAAGCTGCCTTTGGTCCGCAGCGAGCAGTTTGGGTACACCTCAGAACTCGCAAGCCAGTCGTCATCCTGCTTCTTCTCCATCGTGTAACGACCTGTATTGCCATCTGCGTTTTCCTGCTTCTTCCCAAGCACGAGACCATTTGCCTTGGAGCGCGCGTCTACCCGTGTCTTTTCCGTCACGGGATCATCTGCCTCAGCATCCGCGACGGCTTGCTGCGCTTCCAGAGTCGAAGCACCTGCCTGCTTCTGTCCCATTGCAAAATGATCTGCTTCGCCGGCCTCGCCATGTGCATTTGCCCGTCATTTCCGTCGCGGAATCATCTGCCTCAGCATCCGCGACGGCTTGCTGCGTTTCCGAAATGGAAGAGCTTTTGGTATGAAACTCTTTGGAGCTATCGCGCTCCTGGGCGTTCAAAAAGTGACGCTGGGATCCTGCTGCCTCAAGCGGCCAGAGGTTCTGCTGGGACGGTCTCACTGCCAAGCAGGGCAGCAGCACTCCCAAGAGCACCGTGGCCCAGCTGGCCAGCATCCCTAGTCCCAGTGACCCGACGACTGCTTAGCAATTTGGGGGACGGCATGGTTGGGCATAGGGTTGAGGCGTGTAGGGATTTAGGGCTTAGGGTTTAGGAATGTAGTAGTTCAGGGATTTAGGGTTCAGGGATTTAGTGGTTTAGGGATGGGGGGGGTTTCGGGTTTAGGGATTTAGGGGTTCAAGGATTTAGAGTTTAGGGATTTAGGGTTTAAGGATGCAGGGACTCAGGGATCTATTTGGCGAGATAACGTCGTACGTGGATTGGGTGATCCTGCAGCCTGCAGCCCTGGTGAGCGGGTCTGGCACCTTGAAAAGGTCCTAGAGGCCAGCACTTCTGTTGATCTGCCATTAGTCTGGAATCTCCTCAAGCATTGAGCATGCGCAACACATGGGCATGCTGAGCAAGACCAAAGCAATGGGGCGATGGGTACAGAAGACAGAAGATCCTTCCAGACAAGACCAGGCATCGAACGTGCCTCCCAGGAATCTCATGGAGAGAAAAACCCGGCGAAGTGGGGGCTTGCCGTGCCAGGCAGGCACCACGGCAAGCACCAGGCTGCCCGCCAGGACCAACTTCCTCAGGACAGTCTCAGATGTCACATGCCATCTGAGACCCTGGCCGAACGTCTGGCTTCTGTGCCAATGTGTGTTAGTCATACTCCGACATGCCCATGGCCTCACATAATACGCAGACCGGGCCATTGAAAGTGTGTTCAGCCCGCAGCTTGCAAACTTGGAAAGTAGCTGCGCTTCCCGACTAAGCAGACCTACTGCTTGCAAGCCAAGATTTTGACGCTTGATCATACGGAGGCCGGGCATTCCCAGAAGAGTCTTAGGCCAGCAAAGCAATGGTAATGCCACACTGCTGCCCAACTTTGGGGTGGAGCACATGTCAGGGTCCGAAGTAGCCTGCAAGGCAACATGACTGTTTCAGAGCATTGCGACGTTCTTCGCTTACCCAGCGATGCCCAGTAGTCCTGCCACTAGCTCCATTCACTTCCTTGCGCCTGGTCCCAAGTGCGCTTGGGATGTCTATCGTCCTCCTGCTTTTGCGCCTGGCTGGCTTCCGCCGTTTTGCGACGCTGGCCCGATGATGTGTGGTAATCCTTTTTGCGATAGAAGCTCAGTTGAGACCAGGTCGCCGCCAGACCTCTCGTTAAATGTCTCGCAGTTGCCTGTCCTGCATCTGGGCGAAGCTTTCGTCCCAGAGCCCACCTTTAGATGCCTCGCAGTTGCCAAAGAGGGCGGAGCTTCCCTGCATCTGGGCGAAGCTATTGGCCTGGAGCCCACGACCTTCGCAGTTTGCGCCGCGCAAAGTAAGTAGCCTCCGACACGCACGCGGCTACCTTCGATGCACGCCCAACCGACGCACGCGCCGTCGCCGTACCTTGCTTTGCAGTGGACGAACGTGGCCGTCGCGCGGAAAGCCCAGAGGTCACTGCTGACCCTCAGGCCGCGTCCACGTCCGGCCCCGTCGTCCGCGTTCATGTTTTCGCAGCCAGGGAAGGTGATGTCGGCGCCAAGGATGGAGAGGTTACCATCTGCCTTGGAGCGCGTGTCTACCCGTGTCTTTTCCGTCACGGGATCATCTGCCTCAGCATCCGTGACGGCTTGCTGCGCTTCTAGAATGGAAGCACCTGCTTACTTCTTTCCCATTGCAAAATCATCTGCTTCGCCGGCCTCGCCATGTGCATTTGCCCGTCATTTCCGTCGCGGAATCATTTGCCTCAGCATCCGCGACGGCTTGCTGCGCTTCCGAAATGGAAGAGCTTTTGGTATGAAACTCTTTGGAGCTATCGCGTTCCTGGGCGTTCAAAAAGTGACGCTGGGATCCTGCTGCCTCAAGCGGCCAGAGGTTCTGCTGGGACGGTCTCACTGCCAAGCAGGGCAGCAGCACTCCCAAGAGCACCGTGGCCCAGCTGGCCAGCATCCCTAATCCCATTGACGCGACGCTTGCTCAGCAATTTGGGGGACGGCATGGTTGGGCGTAGTGTTGAGGCATGTAGGGATTTAGGGTTTAGGGATGTAGTAGTTTAGGGATTTATGGGCTTAGGGATTTAGGGGTCTAAGGATTTGTGGATTTAGCGTGCAGATTTAAGAGCTAGGGGTTTGTTTAGGCTTTTCTAGGGTCCCCAATAAAGGAAAAGCAAGTACAGTAGAAAATGGAAACTGGGTTATGGGGATTCGGGTTACCTAGAAGCTACCTATGGGGGACCCCAAATTTGGACCCCAAACTATTTTTCCTTGTTATATGGACCCTGAAGAAGGTTTTGGAAAACCTCCATATAATAGGGTTTATCGGGCTTAGGGTTCTGGGTTGAGGACTACGAGGTTGCAGCGTAGGATGTAGGGCCTCGGGCTTGGGATTTTGAGTTCAGCCCAATACATCTGAATTAAGGAATATACCCTGCATGATTGATGCTAGGGTCCGTATGTGACATGGTTGAAGGCGTATTCCTTGATTAGAGAGTAGCGCCCCCCCAAACCCTATAAACCCCTATTGAACTGGGGACTACCCTAAACCCTAGACCAGCGGACCTAAGACTGAGTAGTTCATACCAGTGACCTTAGCGGACTGTCGTTGAAAGAGGCCGGTGGGTCCTGGCATCTACCCGGCTTACACAACTGCAGGAGGATCGTGGGTAGTTCCCAACATTGGGGTCCCATGTTGGTACCCTGAGATATTACGTGCCGTAATACAATCTATAGCCAAAGGGGGCCATCATTTTGAGAACAAACCCCTAAACCCCTAAACCCTAAGCCCCATATGGCTGCTCATTCCGCTGGAGGGACGTGCTAGTGGTAAAGCTCTGGGACATGCAGTAATCACACATGCGGGTTCCTTTTGGAAAATAAACCTGAGCCCTAAAAAGCTGGAGAAACAAGTAAACCCTAAAGACCCTTGATTTGAAACCCTTCCAAAAAAACGAAATCACGTATGAGTTATAATCTAAACCCCTCGTACCCCCTTTTAACAGCCCGTTTAATAATCCCTTCATAATCCCCTATATAGCCCCCCTTTAAGGAGTTTAGACTGTAGTACGTACGATTTTCATGGCAAGGGCGGAGGGGAAACCCATGGCCAGCCCCCTGGACATGCGCAATTGATGCTTTGCATTTCTGGTTGCCTGGGTGGTCACGGAAAACCCTGAGCCCACACTGCTTTGCTCGTAACGTTGAGGTTTAGGGTTTAGGGCTTAGGGCCTACTACTGTAGGGGCCGAAGTAGTTCGGATAGGGGCAGATTGTAGGATAGCAATCTTGGGCCTGTTAGGAAATTGTAGAAGTAATCCCCCTAAACCCTAACCTAAACCCTTAACCCTAAACTCTAAACCCTAAACCGATCATGCAGGCTTCTACAGGAAACCCTTGAGGGTTTAGGGAATTGAGCTCAGGGGGCGTAGACATCTGCAACTCTGCTCTCAAGTCTACAACTCAAAGGTTTTCAGGGTCAGCTTGAATTACTCCTTAAAAGGGGGGGGCTATATAGGGGATTGTATAGGGGACTATTATAAGGGTTAATAAGGGGTATACTAGGAGTTTGGACTATAGCTCATATGTGATTTGGGGCTAAGGAACGGCTTAAGGTTTATCATGCCCAAATCCCTTAGAATGGCACATAGGGCGTCTCGTCGACTGGTTGAGACAGCATGTAAGTTCATTGAATGCGCCATTCAAATAGATCGGTGTCTTTCCACCTTCCCAGAAATTCATAGGAATAAGAAGCAAAATAGTCCTTGCAATAACAATAGCAAAAGCAACAATAGTACTAGGGTTTGTAAACTTCAAATCCAACGCCAACCCGTGATCCCAAAACAGCTGTACATTCCCTGGATGAAGCCCTACAATGGGAGCTCATCTGAGGGGTGCTGGCTTTAGTTTAAATTGTATACAGTAGTGAACTGTTCTGCGGGGGGCGATCTTGGCAATGGCTGCTGCAAATAACAAGCATCGGCTTCTTGCTCAGTTAATATGAAATGGAAGTTTTCCAAACTAATGGATCCGCTTCCCCAGTGAAATACGAACATATGCGCACTTGTGGCACACTTCTCCGCCTTGGAGCACACAACCTACGGTTTGAAGATTTCATGTTGGGGGTTTCCCCAAATTAGGGGTACCTTTTCAGAGGTCCCCATAATTGATAAGGATATTTGGGGTGTCTGCATTGGGCTCCTGTATTTAAGCAAACTACCATGTCATTCTCGAGACCACCCGGCAGGTGCAATCTGAATCTTGAGCCAACAGCACCAGTAAGCGAGCTGCCCGTTGAGCACAGATTCTGCATTGTTTCAGAAGTCAAGAACCAAGAAACTAAGAAAATGCGTTCACTGCTTCACTGTAAAGTTTGGAACCTAACAGAATACGAGTTCTGCCAACAATCCCCAGTACCACGTCAAACCCCATCTGAGGGTTGGGGTCGGCTCAGCAAACTTTAGCAAGAAGTCTGCAAGCAATGGCAGTCCTCGTTCATAGACACTCCAATATACCTGTTTTCAGAATGCGGGCCCTTCGGGGCCGTCTGAATATAAGGAAAATACGAAAGGAATAATTCATATCTTTGGTGTTCAGTGTGTAGAAGGGCCCAACTAATTACCAACATCATTTTGAGGTTTATTCGAGGTTACTCTTTTCGTTTATGTTGGGCTTCATAGATCCCAGAACTGTTGAAGGTTACTCACTGGGCTTTCGTCATAAAGCCCTAAATGTCCAAATTCCTAGATCCC